CCCCCCCCAATCATCGGTGAACGAAACTGTGGCAGCTACAACCAGTGTACGACGAGTACGCGGTTCTTACAGCTGACAATGATGATGATGATGATGATGATTCTATGTTGCAACTCGCTAAGTCTGTGCCACGTATGTATTGTCCATTCTGGAGCCTCGAGGAAACAGCGTGAAAGAAGTTGTTTATAATCGACTTCTCGGCAATCGAGAGGCAACTCCCTTCAGGAATGTTAAAACGCGGTCTATCCGTCGACTGCAGCCCACCACAGTCCTGAACATCTTATACCGATAAGAAAAATGTAACACGGGATGCCCCACTGAGATTACTGACACCCTCAGTAGCACCCTGCCAGACTGGAAGAAATTAGTGGGCTGCAAAATCACAAAGTCCTAGGGTTGGTAACAAAAGTTTAGCCAAAACTGGCTGTATATTAAAATTTGCTGAAAACAGGGATAAGAAAAGACCAGCGCAATCCCAGAACGCTTAGTCAACGACTGATAGTCGCCAACTTGTCAACAGAAGTCATTAGTAATATCCATTAGCTGGTGTGTCCAGCAGTGAGTTCGAGAGAGGTGGCGCGCTATTCAGATTAACCATTTCACGGGAGCTGAACGCTAATGCAAGAACATCAGCGTCACGTTACTCCAGGGCAAGTACCACCAACGTTCACCCTCTTACCTGCATGCCATATTTTCAAATATGCCACCAACATAATAAAAGAGAGGTAACCAAATATGGGCAGGAGAAACCGGCTCGCTTCACATGTACCAATAACGCCGTTGACAATGATATCAACATCAAGTGGGTCCAGTCAAGCAGATGCATATTGTATCGACGACACATCTGATACGTGGGCCATTCTGTCTTGGAGACAGACCTCTTCAACTGCCCTGGAAGGTTGCAACATGTGCGGCGATTGTTCGAGTCTGCAAGCCGCGGAATGAGTGGTGAGAACGAAAGAATGGTGTGCTACCCTTAGGTACAAGGAAGGTGCGCAGCCTAGAAATGCCTGCGACTGACCAGTTAGAGCTAGCGTAGCTGCTACACTACCCAGAGACAGGTCTAGACGACAGCACTCGAGCTGCCGAGGTTCGGCCAGAACCATATATTATCATCATCAATATTGGCTTAAGGACCACTTACTTGTCGTAATGGTTAGAATAATAATAACAGTGATGATAATATCAGCAGAGACATAAGCTAAAATCATGTCATGCGGTGCACGCGCCGGCAGGTTATATTCAAATTCTATCTAACCCCAAAACACAGATGATAAGGTATAAAGACAACCAACCGTTCGAACTCAAAAAAGGCAATACTGCACAATCTGTGCTGCGTATATTGAGTTAACAAAGAAGCCCTCAGCAAAAGTGAAATACAAACGAAAGGAAAACAGGCAATGAAACAAAAGCGAGAGGTGTTGGGCACCCATTGAGAGAATGGGTGCCTGCGCTTGAATGACAACGCGCATTATCACACTGGTCACGTTCCAAACAGGAGCGTCAAAGAGGACCAAAAGCATCAAAATAATCGCGTCACAGCACACCGACGTCTGTGGAAAAAAATGAGGAACGTATTCCAAAAGGGGCACAGCAACAACGAGTAGCATCAAGAGGGGCCAAACTAAGCAGGGTTACTTCGGGAACTCCGGCTGTGGTATCAATCCAAAAAATCAAGCATCCTCTTGTTTCAGTGGTTGCTTCAGTTCATCAGTATCACCAACGATTGCAACCTTGATGTTGGTAGCTTCTGCATAAGTTGGCAGTGGAGCATACTGAAAAGTCAAAAATACGCGAAGGAATAAACAACTCGTTTGAATTCATCAATTATGACAACTTCCGCATAAATTGTTCATGCACCTTCCTCGGTCTTACCGGTCCCGATACTAGTATGAAAAGTCATTCTACGGAACACATGCAGACTCTCCAGAGGATACGGACCACTAAATCCAAGATCCGGTCGTTTCGTTTGACCTTACGAAGTTTAGTTTGTGAGTGAATACGAAGTATTCAGCCACCAATAGCCACAAGAAAATGGCTGGAAAAATGAGCTAGATACGACCATTTACATCCTTTGATAGAGGAGTTATATAGATTTATTTCATGTTGCCCACATAACGGAAAAACAAAAGAGCATACAATGAGCCGATTGGGAAGTACACTGAGTAGCTAAGTAGTAGTAGTGGGGAAAACCAGTGCCCAAAAGTCCGGGTTGTAGTATCGAATGGCTAAGTCGTTCCCCAGCAAAGTCGGATGACGTAGGTGATCAAAAATCGGAGAAATCTTAAATAACGGAATACGTTAACGTCACAAACACGGCTGAGCCACAGGATAAGAACCAGCTGCTTCAGAATGCCTTCTGGAATGTTGCTCGCTGTGCAACAGCTACAGGCTACCTGCGCCGAAACGTAGACGGTGATGGGGACGCTCCAGTAAGTTTTACATGTTTCAATAGAATCGACTGGAAGCCGTTCAGCTCCAGCTACAAGGCAACTCCTGGAGGGGTGAAGCAACAAATTTTACGAGTCACCGCATAATAATAAATAATAATAATAATAATAATAATAATCGTTCAGCTGTAGCGCCCTTTCGGCGCCTAGCTGCCATGCCACCCGAAGGAAACACGAGAGCTGGGATGCTGTCAGGTTGCCCAAGCCTAGACAGGGGAAGTCGAGAGGCAGAGGTGGGGTTCGAATCACGGACCTCCGGGTCAGTAAATTCGCGCTCTAACCACTTGAGCTATCTCGCCCCCGAGTCACCGTCAGGTCTATCTGTAATGACATGATAAGCATATTCTCAGTCATGCACACATGTAGAGCAGGCCCGAGGGAGACCCCAATACCACCATGTATGCAAAGCCACTTAGCCAGTCCATAAAGGTGATAACACGAGGCTGTGAACAACCAAAGGCAGGAAGCCCAAATCATTAGAGTCCGAATAGCATCGAATATAAACACCAACACGACTGGAACCAAAGATGCTCTTACATTGATCGTTTTGAACAATCTGGCTTCCCTGCTTGAAAAACAAGAAGTTTATTTGAAAACCAATGTGGCAGTCTGTCATCTCTCATAAAAAACTCGGACGTTTTTTATCTCTCGCATCGCACCTGAGATGCGCTCCAAAGTAACACTGAATAAGTATATTTGTCATCTTAGCAGGTGCCGTTAAACCATCACCTGACCTGGATACCGTTCTACCGCACGGACCATTCTATTGTTAAATTCAGATAAACTAATCACGCTATGAAGAATTCTCAAGTGAAGTTACTGAAATGACCAATCAGGAAATACGCGAGGGCGTGCTAAGCTTGAGTGTAACAGCGAACGAAAGGACACTCGACGATAAAAATGGAGTAGCATGTGGAAGAGAGGGCCCAAGTTCAACGGCCAAAAAAGCGTCAGCTCAAAGAGCAACAGAACTACACACTGCAATGAGAAGACACTGCCTGACAAGACTAGCTAACAAAGGCCAATCAACTCACTCGGTAGCCACGTGAAGTACCGTAACGGCGACGTACACACAGCACGAGCTGCACAAAAAGTAGGACAATCAAAGTCGACAGTGTTACCACGAACAGCAACAAAAATGGGGCATGGAGCATTCGGCGGAACCAACACTCCACATCCTCGCCAGAATATACCGAGTTCGAATTAACGGGAGCTTGATGAGCGAACATCATGTGATGTGGCACTTGATCAGATTGTGACCCTGCCTTTTCATTCGGTTGGACTGGCGCATGTGGAAGAACGTCCTCCGCGGTCGAATCTCCTTCCTCGACTGAAGAAGACAGTTAAATTTCAAACATGCAGTGCTTCTGAGTAATAGTTACTCTCTCACTACCACAGGCCTTAATAATCCGTTTAAATCTGGGAAACAAAGTAAAAGGGCTATCACCTACGCGGCGATGCATTGGCAGTGCACAGTGATCGAATTTTGACTATTCACCATCACTAAAAAACCTCATGCAAGGTTTACAGGCTGCTACACCTGCGTAGCCACATAAGATTACACCAAATACTTCTGAACCGATTGACAGTTATGGGCTGAAACTGACAGGTCAGGTCATCGACTGCAACATCGCATAAGGCGTTTAAAGCTCATTAAGTGGTCTTGGAGCAACCAATTTCACTGTGTACAAAGCAGCCATGAGCTTACTATTTGCAGGCGCTCACAAGCCAAAAAACAGTCCACAAGGTGCTTTACCTGAAAGATTATTATTCAACGTATTTCTAAACTGCGTTGTAATCCAATGTGGATATTCGTCAAACTGGCTGTTCACTAGTGGTGACTAGATACATAATTCCACCGGAATAATAAACACTCAAGAAAAACCCGGCAAGTGTCACGGCACAGGTTTAAAAGTCGACTGGACTACTTTAGTGAGGATGAGGTTCAAGACCGAAAAGCTCAGTCACACACCGCCCTTCACCTCGAGGGGACTCACCGGGAGGACCAGTGGATCCTAAACGTGGGCTTATGGTGGTATGCTTAAAACCGCCAACCTCCACAATAGAGCTTTTGTTTTTCGGTATCGAGAACATCAGTTCGGGAAATAGTCAAACAGTGTTATTCCTTTATCTAACTAGGTGGTTTTCGGGGCAGTTTGGAGCGTGGGTTATCATCGGTCTATATATGGTTTCCATACAGGTGGCTGAACAGCACGAAATGACAGTTGCCAGACATACCGGCTTCGGCATTGTCTGCTCGCCGTCTTGGTGCTAGATGAAAGTTCACAAGCAGCAAATGACAGCTGCCTTCGAAACTCTGGGTGAGAGACTAAACGGTAGATATAGACAAAAGTTCGCCTACCTGGGCGTGACGTAAGGTGCTGTTACTGATTCCCGCACCATTATCCATAACCAGAGATACTGGAAACTGGCAACTAATTGCACTTGACCAGTTAGGCCAGTGGTGAAACAACGCAACCAATCCCCCTTTGATGTATCACCGTCCCTACGCCCTGTCCTATAGGTCGTATTGTAGCTAATACACACATGGTACTTCATTAAAACCAACAGTATCGGAACGAAGAAAGGCACACACTCACTAGGTATGAAAATCCGAATTCGCGACACAACTACCGGTTCCGAGTTTAATTCGGTGTTGGCGTTGGCGGTATCATCCGGTTTGCCTGGAAAAAAAGTTGTTATACCAAGAATGGTGCTACTCTCGTCCGCCAGATGGCGTCAAAATGACACGGAAACTCACCGGATAACATTTGTGACACAAAGTCACGGAAAACATTCATGAGGCCAAATGCACTGTGAACCATACAGGAACTTAGGAAAACCAGCTTACCCAAACGAACCATCAGTGGTTTCGAACTGCTCGCAACCAGTTTCGCAAGCTTTTTCATCCTCTCCTGTGTAGTTATCCTCACAAGATTTCTTGCACGTGGGGCGAAGTTTTGGGTCTTCGGGCGCGTGAGTTAATGCGTATGCATAATAACATCCTTGTGAACAGGCATCCTGAAAAGCAAGTTGGGAATAACAGTATCAGTGGATTCCTCGCAAAGCAGATTACTACGCTACAATTTGCACGACAGTTAGTTGCAAAATGACCGGGTTGTGTGCAGAATAAAGTTCAGTACTCAACCAAAGGGAAAACATACGGATTGATGCGAACATTCTCATGGCCACGTCAAACGATCGAAGTCGTTCACTGGGTAAACGGCGTATCCCTAGGTCACTTTACGGGTGCCGAAATGAGAAGAAACACTATGAAAATGCTGTTTGTCACTGGCCCGTGACTAGAAGTACAGATGGACCTTCATCTTCATGGGTGCACTGTAGCTAGCTTGGCTGACAATCCAGCCCTTGGAACACTTCGGCTTTTGTTTGCGAACCCGTAGTTCACATTCAACTCCACCCACCATGAGGTCCGTCTTCCTTCAACTGTTCTTAGAATAGGTCCTAACCATGGGGAGTCCTTTCCAAAGTCTAGACAAGGGGAGTCGATATATGGAAGTCGGGTTCGAAGTATGGACCTTCCGGTCAGTAAATTGACGTTCTAACCACAAGCCATCTCGCCCCCTAATCGCTGTCTACTGAGGCAGGTTATGCTAACTCTCAGAATGGTGAAAACTGTGACGCGGGCATCCCGTGACTTACTAGAGAGGTGTCGAGAGACTACGAGACGCCTGAGTATTTGATGCGATCCGTCCTCAAGGTAGTCCCCATGATTCTCCGCGTGTTTAGCTGGAGATGCTGTAAGAAACGCCCTTTAACCGATGTCCAAAGCTTTCTCATTCCAGATTATCAGGTAGGGCATTTAGAGGTATAAGATAATAATGGTAGTCCGTCCCTAGCACCCCTTCTGTGCCTAGCTACCACACCACCCGAAGGAAGCACGAGAACCGGGACACTGCCAGATTTAATGAGGAACGTAAAATAGCCAAAGTTTACCACGAACCGAAGCTCCCAGCTCACGTCTTGAAACTGCGCAACAATGCTACTAGTCAGGATGACTGGGGTTGGGTGCCTTTTGGAGATGCTGCAGCGAGTTCTAAGGCAAACCATTGGATTGGTTTCATGACCTTGCAATCCCAGGTACTTAGATGCGGTAGAACACGTAGCGAATCTCTCCAGCCTGTGCTTGAGTTCATTACGCGGCACCGTCCTTAATTCCCCCTTTTGAGAGGGGAACTGTAACCACTCGAAATTTTTCCTATGTGAGGATTACGCCAAAAAGTGCTTCAGCCCTCGGTCAGAGTATCAAGCAAAATTTCCGGTCACTGTCCGTCGCTGCTTCTAATCCCCATTCAATAAATCATCCAGTGTATTTCTCCATTTCCTCGTAATTTCGCTTATGAATCGTCGACAAGCAAGACTACCGTTTGACCATACGAACACTATGAAATCACTTAACGCATCAACCTCAAGATTCAAACATGAATATGTCACAATATGAACGTCCCTAGGCATTTACCTGTTTTGGTGAAGCCGTACAGCTGTTTGTACAATCGTCCAACCTGGAACCGGACGCCGAAACCACCAAAAACAGGAGAAGGAACGGGACCATCGGCTTGGAATGCAATGAACCGCGCCTTTCAAGGTCGCGTCGAACACTGGTCAGTGTATTATAACGAAATCGGGACAATCAGCTCAAAGGGTTTAGGCGTACAGTAAAGTCACTAAATCTCACACATATGCCGATCCATCTTACACGCACTCGGCAGGGAAGCCAATGGCTCTCGGAAAGTTACTACGTGACAAAGATGCTCGTGTTTATGGACAGCTTAACCCAAGCAGAGGACGAAGGACTCATATCGGATGCCATAGATTTCGACTTCTCAAAAGCATTTTATGGGGTCCCACACGTCCCGCTGCTTCACAAAATCGAGTCTTGCGGGATTCTATGGAAAACCCTTTACTGCATCAAAGCGTTCCTATCAGACAGATCATTCCGAGTGAGAATAGGCTCGATCTGCTCCTCTCCAGCGCCGGTCTCCATCGGAGTTCCTCAAGGCTCCGTCTTGGGACCACTCCTGTTTCTGATCTACGTCAAAGATCTCCCAGACGTTCTTGCGAGTCCATGTCTACCTTTTGCGGACGACTTGAAATCCTGGAGTTCCAATGCCAGTGCCCTCCAAATGGATGTAGACGCTGCCAAGCAGTGGTCGTTGGACTGGCACCTTCCTCTGAATGATGAAAAGTGCGTCCATATGTCTTTTGGAGGGGATTCAGCGAAAAAAGGAATGGTGAAAAGGGACCAGAAGACATCATGAGGATAAATGCCACACACTTGTCCTTCTCACTGCACCATGAGAAATCGTCACAGAAGACATTCGCCATTTTACGGATGATCCGACGCACCTTGTCCCGTGTCACGCGCATGGACTAACAAATACTCTATAGGGCCTATGTCAGACCGCTCCTGGAGTACGCCAAACAAGTTGTCTATTCAGGACGCACGAAAGACGTCACCCTCATTGAGCGTATCCAGCGGGCCGCCACGAGAATGGTTGCCGGCCTCAAATCCGTGGATTACGAAACGCGTCTTTCCCTGGAGTACTGTCGCCTCCGAGGGGACCTAATTCTTACATATGCCCTGTTTGAACAAAGCCTGGAAAACAGATTTTAACAATTGACCCAGCAAACACATGGCGGGGACATAGTAAGAAATTTTTAAAGTTCAGAGCACATACATTCATTAGACAAAATTATTTCTCATTTCGGGTAGTAGCTGCCTGGGATGACCTTCCTCCGATGGTTGTGCACGCTCCTTCTAGAACCCAGTTTAAAGCACTATTAGACATTTATTTATGCGATTCCTCGAGCTGGCAAGCATACTGCCCCGCGCTGAGAACATAAAGAGCAGTGCTACACCCTTTTTCACTTGTGCCTTTCTGATGAATGACAGCCACCGACAGACATGAACAAAACCGACCCGGGAAGCTTGGGCAAAACCCTCGATACTGTGCATCAATCCGTGAATCCCTGTAACCTCATGTCGAAACCGCACTTCACAAAATGATCTGAATGAGTGGGGTCTAATACAAGTACATGAAGTGTGCATTTTACAAACTAATCCAGCATTGACATCAGGTTTAAAGAATCTATGATGCCATGCAAATCGGATACTCGGTTAGGTGGGCCGATCGCACAACACAACGAAGTTATGCTATGCATATATGGTCTCGAGGCTTCTGCTTATAATTCAGGCTTTTAGCGTTTTGTACCTTCATTTTACTTCCATTATAACACTACGTATTTCATCAATTGCATAATCGTTTTTTGTTTGAATACGAAACACTACAAAAACGCGCACTTGTACAAGTTCACATAATACAAGCGTGGTCACGTGCTTCGACTCTCCTGCTTTCGCTCGCGCTTCTAGCGGTCCTTCGCGAGTCTCATGTACTAACTCTGCTACCAAAACAATTCAGTCCATCCTCGGAATCTACTTTATGTGGGAAGTGTTCAGAAGAAGACCTATGGAACAACACTATTGGATTATTGTTTATTCGCTGACCTGGGCCAACGACAAACTATTTTAAAGAGAACAATTGTCAGTGAGTCTGTTCCATCTAACGTTTTTATTGTTGTATATCCAACCTAGCGTCATTGTTTTTATTTCTTTGCCACACGCTCCTGGTAAACTAACTCATTGGTTAGCCCGAGTATTTCTGGATATTTTTTTGAAAGATTTTCAATTCAACTAGTCGTTGATTTGTTTCCTTGCCTGGTAATCATGGAGGCACACTTTGATTCAGCGGATTTAGTCGAGAATGCGATTGGAACACGTTTACCAGACTACAATCCACGCAACCCCGGGGTATGGTTCCACTATGTGGAAACCGTTTTTCCTACCCGACGCGTCTCTTCCCAAGCCACGCGATTTTCCTATGTTGTCCAGCGTCTTCCTCGTGATGTGGCAACAGAAGTAGAAGATCTATTGGAAGATATTCCCAAGGAAAATCCGTTTGACGCCCTTCGGGCGGCCGTCACAAGTAGGACAAGGAAATCAGAAGACAAAATGCTACAGGATCTATTCACCACTGTCGAACTTGGAGACAGATCGCCATCACAAGTGCTTCGCCACATGCGCAGTCTCCTCTGCGGCCGTAAGCTAACGGTGGAAATCATGGCCCAACTATGGCTCGATAAACTTCCATCCTCAATGTCCCGCGTCATCAGAGCTTTCGTTGGTGACCATATCGTGGAGCAGTTAGCCTAAATGGCGGATTAGATACACGAAACATACCCCAGTAACCCGGTAAACTCCGTCTCCCACCCTGCGCCCACTACAGATTCCGACCCGCTTCTTGCTTCTATATCGCACCTACAAGCCAAGTTTGATGCTTTGACCGATCGCCTGCAATGGTCAGAGATCAACAACAATCGACCACGTTCATGATCAAGATGATTGTCTCGTGCCCGTCCTTCATGGTGCTGGTGTCACCAAACTTTCGGTCCTAAAGCACGCAAATGCCAACCGCATTTTTCATTCAAGCCGCGTCCCAACACCCATTTAAAAACCTCGGCCAGTCAGTAACGGCGACGATTGTCTGTGGCCCTCCTCGCCCTAGTCGCCTGTTCCGCATCGCCGATCGTTCAAGTGGTCTACGTTTCCTCGTAAATACTGGAGCTGAAGTTAGTGTGCTACCACATAAGAATCCACTTCCCGATTCTGCTTCTTTCGTCTTACAAGCCGCTAACGGTACCCGCATCGCTACATACGGCGAACGTTCTCTCAAACTTGACCTCGGATTACGACGTGCGTTCAAGTGGATCCCCCTTTTGGCCGACGTCTAAAAACCAATCATCGGTGCAGATTACAACCTACCTGTCGATACAAACGTCACAAACGACACAAACGTCACTTGGACACGCTTACTTACCTCTCAGTCAACGGAATTAGTGCCTCAACTTCGTCCGAGTTATCTTACCGGATTCACATTTTGCTGACATACTTAAGGATTTTCCAACCCTTACTCATCCATGTCAGTACACCCAACCGGTCACTCATTCCGTAGTTTGCCACATTCAGACGAGAGGTACACCTGTCCACACCAACCCACGCCGACTTAATCCGAATAAGCTACCAATCGCAAAACACGAGTTCGAACATATGCTCGAACTCGCCATCATCCGCCCTTCATCGAGTCATTGGTCATCATCCCTACATATGGTACCTAGGAAATCTAAAGGTGATTGGAGACCCTGTGGAGATTACCGTTCTCCCAACAACGCTACTATCCCAGACGGGTATCCCATCCCACATATCCACGATTTCGCAAGTACCCTATGCCACACAAACATCTTTTCCAAACTCGATCTCGTACGAGCATACAACCACATACCCGTAGCCCCGGATGACCTTCCCAAAACAGCCATCACAACACCGTTTGGTCTTTTCGAATTCACGCGTATGCCCTTCGGTCCCTCGAAATGCAGCCCAAACGTTTCAACGTTTCATGGACGAGGCTTTACGTGGCTCACCGTTCGTGTATGCCTACCTTGACGATGTTTTAGTGGCTAGCACCTCCCCAGCTGAACATGCAGCTCACCTCAGGGCAGTGTTTGAACGTATTTCCACTTACAACATACGTTTGAACGTTGACAATTGCTTATTCGGTGTTACTAGCCTGGAGTTTCTTGGCCACCACATTGACGCCACAGGTATTTTACCATTACCCGATCGCATTTCGGCCCTAGAGTCTTTTCCCATACCCACCACTCTCACTCAACTTCGTCGTTTCGTTGGTATCATCAACTACTACCGGCGATTCATCCCTCACAGTGCAGATATTTTGAAGCCACTGACCGATTTACTCGGCTCCAAAGAAAAATCTGTTACTTTGCCCCCCGCCGCCATTACCGCTTTCGAAAGAGCCAAGCAAGCTATTGCTCAGGCCACAAAGTTATCTGTCCTCGATACTCACGAGAGCACAAAGCTGATTTTGACAACTGATGCTTCGAACGTTGCCGCGGGTGCCGTACTTCATCAAGTTGTCAACAACGCATCTCAACCGCTAGCGTTTGTCTCGCAGAAGATGCAGGCTGCCCAAACGTGTTACAGTACTTTTGGTCGTGACTTACTCTCAGTTTACCCTGTTATTCGCCATTTCCGGCACTTCTTAGAAGGTATCTCATTTAACATTCAAACCGACCATAAGCCACTCACCTTTGCCTTTAACGTCAAGCCTGATAGATATTCACCACGCGAGGTGCGCCATCTCGACTACATTTCACAGTTCACTATCGACATTCGGATAACGTCGTCGCAGATGCACAATCCCGTCCTGACATCAACGCTCGTCACCATTCCACGCAGTTGAACCTAGCCAAGCTGGGGAACCTTCAAAGTAGTGATCCTATTTTTTGGCACATTCTATCCTTCCCTTCATTTCAAGTCTGTTCAATTCCCTTGCCCTACAATCCGGAACCATATTTTGTAATATGCCTACAAACTCAGCTCGCCCAATCGTCTTCGAAGCCTTTCGACGCGTTGTTTCCGACCCCTTTCATGCATTGTCTCATCCAGGAATCAGAGCAACCAGGAGGTTGATTGGTGCACGCTTTGTATAGCCCTTCATGAATAAGGACCTGACATCCTGGGCCAAAC